ACCTGTGTAGGTTTATGATTTCTTTGTTATTCAGTGACCCATGTCCAGAAACACACTGGACTTCAACTATAGTGTTACTTTTCAAGTTTTTATTGTTTTTTCTTTTTTCTTTGTAATGCTTGGGAATGAGCCTAAACTTTTCACTCAGATATATTCCCAACTCTTTAAATTTTATTTTTTGAGATAGGATCTTCTTAAATAACGTTATTGCTGACACTCCATTAGGACATAGAATGCAGTGGCCTCAGTCTCCCGAGGACTGGATTCCATCAAGCCTCACCGCATCTCACTTTTCCATTTCTTTCCAGACTCAAAGTAACAGAAAGACGTAGACAGAATACCTCCTAAGTAATACTGACTGAATAATTCCTGAGTCAAAACAGCACTTAGCAGTGCTGCTATTTATTCTCCTTTTATATCTGGTATATACATAAAAACATTTCTCTATTTCTACAAAGTAATAAGGATCTAACTATCCAAATCAAATCTTTATATATTATTCATCAGGTTATCATTCAATGAGCAATCCCATATTAGGAAATCAACATAGTTTTGTAAACCCCAGGGAAATATATATGAGAAAAGTATCTAATGTCAAATAATCCCATCATTGAGCCTCTGCATAACAAACATGCTTTATCTAAGTTCACATTTAATTTTTCTTGCCCAAGGTGTATTTTAATAGTTTAATGGTGGTATCTTTCAAAGTATTACAGGATATATTACTATATATTAAATGATTTTCAAAAGTTGCAAAATCAATTTTCAAAATTTCATCTATGAGTTGCTTATGACTGAGATTTGGAAACAGGTTATTTTTTTATTTAAATAAAATAAAAATTAAAAAACAATTAAAAATACAGAATTTCAAAACATTATGATAGGAAATTAACAAAGATTGTGCTATACTGCATGTTGTTTTCTTCAAAGTAGTTGCTCAGGTTGCCAGATATAGACATGCAATACTGATCAACCTGTTAACCATTAGCTGTTCCTTTCAATAAACCAAAAGAAACCAGTACTACAATTATCTTAGCTATCTTGTGTATCTTGAAAACAACCAAAATGCCCATCAACCAGATAAGAACTAAAATTTACAATAGATTTTGTGAAATGGAAAGTAATTGTTCAAAAGAAAGGGGAACTGTGGAGGCAATGGAAGGGAAAATTAAAAACTGAGGAAAAAAGGGTAAAATGGAAACAAAGATTTGTAAATAAGGAGG